CCAGCGGGATACCCTAATTTTTTCCTAAGCGACTTGTTTTCAAAGTTTTGACTTAGTAAGGCTTTTTGTTTCTTTCTTATTCATACTCTCCATTTTGCATAAGTCGTTGATCTTTACACCGTTTTCGATTTGTTAGAAGTGATAGTCATTGCCTGAGTCTTTGATAGGTGAGGGATAGTTGTTGTTGTATCATCATCTTTGATCCTCCTGACGTGCGAGAGATACCCATTGGGATATCATTCTCTTTGATGCACGTTGCTGATAGATGAGGGTTAGCCATTATGGTTTTGACTTCCATCGACCTTTTTAAGGATAACCAATGGTGTATCCTTAAATGGGTACTCTTGATGAGGTCTGAACTCTTGATCAGATTAATTGAACACTTCCTGCCCCAGGGTTAAAATGAGGGTTTTTTCCTGAACAGAAAAGAAACTCCTTTGAAGGCTCAGAGGGGTTAACGAGGGTCTATCTCCCTTATATCTCTGGTGTTTAGGAATTGAAACAAGGCTTGTACATCTTCAGTCGGGTCTTACTCAAAAGCATACCAACCAAAGATTTTTTTTGCGTTTTTAGATTATCATCATCCTCCCTCCAATCTTTTTCTAAGCATAAGACTTAGAAACTGGCATCAATAGGAAAGTAAAACATTTAAATAGTGATAACAAATGGATGAATAAAAACGAAAGGAACACTTTAAGACAAGCATGCTTATTGGATTAAGATTTTCATTCAAAATTAGACAGGTTTCTACATGCAAGCAATGTTTAAACAAACAAGCAAGAATGCAAATGAAAATGCAGTAAAGAAACCAATGATTTCCATCGTTGAGGAGACTTGACTCCGTATGGACTTCTTGATTCTGACGATTTTCTGCAGTCTTAGTGCTTAAATGGGTGAGAGAATTCCTTTTCTGATCTGATGTGAACACAACAGTCTCTGAATTGATCCAGTCTTGGACCTTGTTTCTAGATTACATACCATTTTCAACCGAATGGCCAGATGCCCTAGAATAATATGCATAGAATATTATTTTATAAGAGAGAATGAATGCTTTATCGAGCGAATTGGTACAAACTGCACCACCAAACATCTTATGCCCCAAAGAAGCAATACAATTCGTCTTCTATCACAACAGAAGAGACATCTAGCTGGTGAGAAAGAGTTTGGCAGTTGGCCAAATAGGACTTGGACTTTTTGGAAAAGACGCCAGGCAGGTACTGGACTTTATACTTCAACCCCTTTACAGTTTTTGACATCGAAACTGAGTGACCCAGAACAGGAGACACATCTAGTATGTGTTTCGCAATCAGAAAAGATGTTTGTGGGAGGAGGACCCCAAAGATCAGAGCTTTACCAATTAAACTTCCACCAGAAGAGGAAATAATTGGATGTAATGCATTGGGATCACATCAACATGCTCATCGGGCATCTTCTCTATTTCTTTAAAAGCTTTTCCCAATGAATTCACTCAGGGAACAAAAACTGGCTGCTGTCGAACATATCCGGGAATGCAAAGCTGTGGAGAGTGCCCCTGATTGATTAGTCGGGTGCCCTAGTATGGTAAACACATCTGACGTTGGTATCATGATCTAGAAGGGAATTTATAGACGGTACCGAATTACGGGTTTAATCCACTGAAGCTCAAACAAGTGTGGAAACCAATGAGAGTGAAGAATTGATATAAGATCGACTCTTCTTCAAGCGTATTCTAATATCGTTGGTAAAACAAGCTTCTTGTATTCACATAGTAAATGGGAACCATCTGCTGATAAGATGTTCCATGAACTCAATATTGTGTAGCACTCTATGGTTGAAAGCAATTCCATGACCCAGCTCACCTGAGTCTTTAATCGATTATATTTCTTCTCAAAGAATTTCCGACCACGGGCAAAAAAATGCATGTAAACCGTAATCAACCCCATCAGGATCTTCTATTCAGTCAATCCCATATGGGGTTATCGCATAACTGATCTCTGAACATGTGAGAACAAGAAATTAAGTTTGAACCCCTGATGAGAACACCAGGTCTGAATAAGAATCTCCAATCTTCGAGTACCTGTTATGGATGCATGAATATGCGTGGAGTGCATGAATGGATGCCATGTCATATTCAATCATTTCCAAGGAATTTATACGCTTTGATTTTGATTTCACACAGGTAAGGGATGGAAAAGTTCCACACAAGACTTACAAATATGATTCCCTGGAAATAATAGAACATGTATCTTAAGTATGTGGTTAACCATGTTATGTATGCAAATACACGGGATTAAAGTTCTGTCATTTCTGAATATGATTACGACATTGTTTCTGAGCCATATGAATATCACCGGGTCAAAGGTATGACATGGCTTCCGCACATATAAGAACCAAGTACCATGTAGATTATCAATTGTACAGGATCAAGGCTTCTGGAATACTGAATACTACTGATCCTTTTCTGAACATGTTGGGAATACCAAGATTGAAGGCCCGAATGAACCTCCAAATAAACAAGTCAGGAACTCAAAATAGATCTGAGAACCATATGGTCACCAACAAAACATAGTCACCATTTGAATAAGTCACCAACGGTACCTATGATAATAATTCCCTCCCCACTCACGGGAGAAAACTAGGCCAGGGTAAGGTCGGGTAACTCAAAATCGAGGGTACTCCTGTAAAACTATCACTGTATCACCTACGTGAAAATGATAGCCCCTTATTTGTACCTCATCTGAGCATGGACGACATAACAGCAATAGTTCCACCTAAGTTAACTAGCCGTTCATGTTCCACTTTATTCCTAGGATTCCTATAGTTGTCACTTGGCATGGGTATTAGGCCTTTTACGTCATAGTAACATCGCAACCTAATCAAGAAGCAGATCCAGTACAACAGCAGTATATGGAAAACAGTAAAGTGCAATGCATACATATGCTCAGGTAAACATGTACAAATGAATAAACTGAAAGCGTAAAAATAAACACCCAAAGAAAAGACAATAAGATCTAGGAGCGACTCTGGAATGGACCATCATTTGGTCGACTTATCCCCAGTGAAGTCGCCAACTAAAACAACCGGCTGGAAATCATCAAACAATGAAGTCGCCATCGAACATCATTTATCCCACATGAGGGGAAGGTATTATCACCCCACACGCCTGTAGTACCCTATGGTATCCACTCTTGTTATCTCTCTTATGGGTTTTCTTAATCTATTCTTACTGCTTATTGCTGAGGAAGAATGCATGCAAATGTAGGGAAAATAAAGTTGTACTCGCTTAGGCCCTACCCCAATGCCTACGTATACTTTTTGAGGAATCAGAGTTACCATATTTCGGCTCACATGTTTTATTTTTTTGTTTTTTTTATGAATAATGTTAATTTTGTCTTCTACAGCAGCTCGACCTTTGGAGACTTATGCGTTGGCAAAAAAGTGAATTAATCACGTCCTTGCTAAAAATGGTTTTGAGTTATGCCCTCAAGGCAAGATGTCGTATTTGATCGGTTTGTATTTTGTTACCTTGAAATGGGGTTTAAGTGTGATTAGCATGTTTTATGATTTGCTAAGAAAAAGAAATTTTTAGATGCAAGGATGCAAAAGAGGGAAGAAAAGAGTCTACTGGAGACTAGCCTATTTCTAATCCTAATGTTATCATACAATTGTGGTCCTAAGATATGGATTAACAAAAGGGAAATATCTACCTAATGTTTTCATGCATAGCTTGCAACCTAAGGTCTAACTTGCATCCAAAAGGAACAAGCACATCCTAAGGGAACATGGTATGTACAAGGATAAAACAAACAAGTTCAAAAGAGCACACACATGCCACGAGTAGCACACACTAACTCGGGTAAAGGCCTAACCAATATATAACTGATCGAGGTAGGCGATAGAAGATAATATGAATGATTATGGAGCATCAGCATCGACCAATGCGAACTCTTGACAAAGTGTGGGGGTTTAATTACAAAACACTTCCCCACTTGACGACTCGTTAACAAGAGTAGGTAAAACTCTGAATCATCGTGGTACGTCACGAGCTAAGGATGGCAAATAGGAAATTGTGGGGGTTGATTGCTAACCCCTTCTTGCTTGCCTCCTTTTCAGGACTTCAATAAGGGATGGTGGAATAGTGCGGGAACAAAGGTAAACACACGTTCAGAATACCTACTTCAAAGGTAGGGTTTTAAACAAATACATGTATCATACAAAAAGCACACAATGCAGAATTGCCCTAAACGGGTCTTTAAATAAACCAGAGGGATTCCTAACATGATAAGAAACGGAGATCCCCGTCATACATATCTACCCTACTTCTCATGGCATCAGAAAGCAGTAAAGCCCTACTTCTCATGATCTCTATAAAAACGGTAAAGAAATACGATAAAGTGCGGAAATAAGGAATAAAATAAAGTCACGGTGATACCTAACGGAGAAGGTCTGTTGCCTCTTCAAAACCACCCAAGCAAAGAGAAAACTCTATAGAAGCTACTTCTCACAAGAGATCAAACGAGTTAGTCTCCAAGAACTTCCACATTGCCAAAGCTGCATAAACATTCTATCGCAAAATCATAGCTAGAAATGACAACGAAAATGATTATCAAACATGAAAATAATAGAAAATTCTAATGAAAATTCTAAAGAGAGATCGTAAAGAATTCTAAAATGTTCTATCACTTTCTTTGTATCATTTTCATCATTAAAATCATGGAAAAAAATGAAGCTAAAACTAATAAAACATGAGAAGATAAGAGTATGGTAGAAATAGAGGGGGTGTATTGCTAAGCCCAGGAAGTATTGAAAGGAAATGATGCTAAGCCCAACAGATTTTTTCCACCACCATTTTTGTACATTGATATGAAGCTTCAAAACAATACAGATATGGGCCAAGGTGGTTCAATCCAGAATGAATCTTTTCGGTGTAAGACATGCTAGCTTCCAAAAATCTCAACTGTCCTAAGTAGAACATCAATGCCCAACGAAAATAGCCACTGAGTCCAAACATTTTGTTGTTAATGCTAGGGTTTAGAACGACTATTCAGCTTCCATCCATGAAAGCGATTCTCTTTCTCCTTCAATCTTCAGACTCAGTGTTTTCCTCTTCTTCACTATCTGATTCGGACACCAACGGAAATCAAAACGCCATCGCCGATCTCCATCGCATCTTCAAAGTTCTTCATCCGACTTCAATTCCGTCTTCGATATGTTTTCGACGCGAGCCTCCGTCTCACTCAAACGCATATTCATGGTGCTTTAGCTTCGAGGTCCACCGCGATTCTACCTCTCATTCTGGTTTAGCTTCAACTTTAAAACATGGCTCCGATTCGATTTCGTCGTTATCGATATATCATAGAAGCTAAGGTATGTTTTTCGTTCCTGACGCTCTTTATTTTCTACGATTCGAAACTTGCTTCTTATGACTATTGTGATTTTGCGTATGCATGAGGATGATTAAAACACAATGTTGAGAATTTGTTGTTGCTGACTTTGTTGCAGATTGAGCGTTGATGACGAACGAAGATGAAGATTATGATAATTACAGAGGTGCAATTTTAGGTTGATGACAGATGGAAATTGGAGGTCTTTCGGTTTTGATGATGAATGATTATTGAAAAGGTTGAAACCTAATAATTTGATTCAGGGAGAGAGAGGTTTGGTTATGGAGATTTTTGCATAGGATGGTGAAGGTGGTTCTTTTGTAGATGACGAATGAAGCAAAGGGTAGCGAGAATCTTCTAAAGATTTTATTGGTAATTCTTCTCAATAGGGAAGAATGGTGAAGATGAAGTAGAGAAAGTTGAGAGGATTTTATGGTGATTTTGCAGGGAGAGTGAAGTTGAAAGGTGAGTCTCTGAATTTCTATGATTGTTTTCTGTTATATGAATCGTTAATGAATCTTCTCCTCCCTCTGTTATCTTCTATTAGGAAATCTGTTGGAAGTTGTTATGAATTTTGTTAACTGTTAGGAGTTGGCAGAATCAATTAGGAGGTTGAAGTTGTTAGTTACATGTTTGGGTGAGTTTCTGTTATAGGTAGTTGGCGAACAGTTAGTGATAGCTGTTAAAACCAGTTAGGGATTTTTTAGAGTTTGTTAGAAGTACTTCTGTTATGGTTGTTTGTTAGAAAACAGCTAGGAAGTTTGGAAACTGTTAGAAAATAAGTTTTTGTTTTCTGTTATGACAGTTAAGAGTGGTTCTGGAAATTCTATTGGTTTTTTCTGTTAGCTGGTTTTCCGTTAGTTTCTTTTGCTAGGAACTGTTCTAAGAGTTAGTTAGGGTAGAATAATTATTTAGGAGTTAAATTCTTTTAGGCTTAGTCAACAAAGTTAGTTGGGGAAGAGGTTGGAAAAGTTTTGATTCGGTTATGAAATGGAGGGTGAGATGGTTAGAGAGTGAAAATTTAGTTATCTTTCTATTATTAACTGTTAGAGACTAATAGTTAATGTGAACTGCTAAGTTGTTTCACGCTTTCTGAACTGTTTTTGTAAATTGGATATCTAGCTTTCATGCGGTTTAATGTGTTAAATGCTTACTGGTTTTTGAATTGGATAACTACTGAATTGAATTGTTTTTTGGTTATCATTAAAGCTGAATTGGTTTTTATTTCATGATTATGCAGGGTCACGGTTTCAATTTGGATTTGTGGTTTCAATTTGGATTTGTGTAGGGTCACGGTTGCTTGAATTTTTGGAACGTCTTGGATGTCTTTCGTGTAGATTCGTAAATCACAGTTTTTGAAGAGAGGTAAGGTTAGTAAACTTAAAATGTTAATTTAGAAACTGTTAATTGGAATTATTTGGTAGAATAGGGTTATCTTGAGCTGCAAATTTTTTATGGAGCGTTGGAAGTTAGTTTCAGTTAGAGAGAATAGGAAATTCTTATTTACGACTTTGTGATTTCCTGCAGCCTTGCCTTTGATTGATCTCATATTTTTCTGGTTATTGGTTATTGATGAATGTAGGTCTGAAAATTGGGCGTGAATTGATTTAGTACATGTTAGGATGGCATGACAAGCATGATATGGACACGAACTTCAGAACCAGTGGTTTTAAAGACAAAATGCGTTAAGATGAGCCTTGAGACAAAGTGAGGCTAAAGTATGAATCTTGAAGATTAGGACCATAGGCATTGGGAAATTTTGTGTAATTTGTATCCTATAACAATTTTGTCTAGAATATTCTTGTAAATGGTCTTTCTTGAATAGAACTGTAGTGACCTAAATTGTAACATGTAGTAACAAGTGTACTTAGAGTTTCAAAGAAAAATTACTTTCCTTTGAAGTATCTTATAGTATCCGTAACTTTACTAATGAAAAATACTCATTTGCCAAAACCAAGGTATGTCTCAATTACTTTCCATGCTTTCAAATTTAAAGTGAAATTCTACTTTTTACCCAAGTTCAAGATTCTTCTTTTAGTACCTCAAATGTAATCTAATTCTAAGCAAAGCATATTTGATAAATGGTCCTAAATCATATGTAGGAAACCCTTGTAAAAAAAGTCTTTGTCCATGACAACTTAATTCAATTCTATCCCATCTTGCATAATAATTTCCAATCTAGGTAATTATGTGTGCCAACTTTGAATGATGATGAGCCATACGAAATCCTAATGTTCCATAAGAAACTCAGGTTTAGACTTAAGGCATGTTTAGACTTAAGGCATTTGAATGAAGTCAAAGGAAGATAGCTTTTATTACAAGTAAACCAATCAACTGGAAGAGGTGCTTTGCATCACAATATATACAAACCCTAATTGGCGAGATAAGTCCACTTGTATCTTAATCTTAAAACAAAAGCAATGCCTTTGAGGAAACCATGAAGACTAATATGAAACCATGGCCAGAAGTATGCCCAAGAAAACCTTTGTAATGAAACCTTATTCCTCGTGATCCTCAAATATTGAACATTATCAAACTTAAATACCATGGATAAGGAAGCCATAATCCACATGTTTTGAAGACACCTTGAGATGACCTTGTAGCGTGAGTAAAGATAGGAAAGAAGTTCTCAAAAAGCATGAAAACTAAACCCTTGCTTTATAAACCGTGATTGATGAAGAACCAGTTAAAACACACATGAGTGAAGACGAGAGTCTAAAAGCACATATATACCTTGATATCCTTGATCCCTTGCTAAATTATTGACCAATGATGCATGACTTGCAAAATGACCTAATGGAAGTTATGTACGTGAGAAAAATGCGAGATGCTTAAGCAAGATAAAAGTGAAAGGGTATTACAGCGGCCTCGCTGGTCGTTTGTTTTAAATATTTAGTTTGTGTTTGCATGTTTGTTGTTTATGGTTATCTTCTTTGAGATGTTTTTTTATTTTGCTAAGGGTTTATAGAGGGGGCTTGCTAGTTTGATTTGTATGTTCTCCACTGTGGGGAAACCGTACAAACAGCCAGGGTAAATATTAGGCGTGGGTCGGAACTCAGGTTTCATTTTGAGGTCCTGAGCTCGGCGGCATGAACTTCATGTCGCGAGTCGGGTGTTCTACCATCGTGGTACGAGGACGGAGGAGTTCGATTAAGTTACCCATGTCGGGTTGAGGACATGCTCGTTAAAAGAGCAGAGTGAATTTGAAAGGTGAGTCTATGAATTTCTATGAATTTTTTCTGTTATATGAATCGTTAATGAATCTTCTCTTCCCTCTGTTATCTTTTGTTAGAAAATCTGTTGGAAGTTATTATGAAGTTTGTTAACTGTTATGAGTTGACAGAATCAGTTAGGAGGTTGAAGCTGTTAGTTAGAGGTTTAGGTGATTTTCTGTTATAGGTAGTTGTCGAAGAGTTAGTGATAGCTGTTAAAATCAGTTAGGGAATGTTTAGAGTTTTTTAGAAGCAGTTATATTATGGTTGTTGGTTAGAAAACAGTTAGGATGTTTGGAAACTCTTAGAATATCAGTTTTTGTTTTCTGTTATGACAATTAAAAGTGGTTCTGGAAATTCTGTTGGTTTTTTTTTTAGCTGGTTTTCCGTTAGTTTCTTTTGCTACGGACTGTTCTGAGAGTTATTTAGGGAAGAAAAATTATTTATGAGTTAAATTATGTTTAACTTATTTATAGGAGTAAGTTGGGGAAGAGGTTCGAAAAGTTTTGATTCCATTATGAAATGGAGGGTGAGATGGTTAGAGAGTGAAAATTTTGTTAGCTTTATGTTATTAACTATTAGAGACTACTAGTTAATGTGAACTTCTAAGTTGTTTCGGGGCTTTCTGAACTGTTTTTGTAAACTGGATATCTAGCTTTGGTGTGGTTTAATGTGTTAAATGCTGACTGGTTTTTAAATTGGATAACTATTAAATTGAATTGTTTTTTTGGTTATCATTAATGCTGAACTGGTTTTTATTTCATGATTATGCAGGGTCACTGTTTCAATTTGGATTTGTGTAGGGAATTGTTTGAAGAATGTGGGACTGCAAGTTTATTGTTGCTTGAATTTTTGGATTGTCTTGGATGTCTTTCGTGTAGGTTCATAAGTCACAGGTTTTGAAGGGAGGTAAGGTTAGCAAACTTGAAATGTTAATTTTGAAACTATTAATTGGAGTTACTTGGTAGAGTAGGGTTAGCATGAACTGCAAATTAGTTGTGGACCGTTGGAAGTTAGTTTCAGTTAGAGCGATTAGGAAATTCTGATTTACGACTTTGGGATTTCCATCAGCCTTGCCTTCAATTGATCTCTTATTTTTCTGGTTATTCGTTATTGATGAATGTAGGTCTGCAAATTGGGCGTGAATTGATTTGGTACATGTTAGGACGGCATGACAAGCATGATATGGACACGACCTTCAGAAGCAATGGTTTTGAAGACAAAGTGCGTTAAGATGAGGCTTGAGACAAAGTGAAGCTAAAGTGTGAAGCTTGAAGATTAGGACCATAGGCTTTGGGAAATATTGTGTAATTTGTATCTTGTAACAATTTGGTGTGGAATGTTCTTGTAAATGGTCTTTCTTGAATAGAATTATAGTGACCTAAATTGTAACATGTAGTAACGAGTGTACTTAGAGTTTCAAAGAAAATTCTTTTCCTTTGAAGTATCTTGTATTATTGATAACTTTACTAATGAAAAACACTCATTTTCCAAGTGTGTCTCAATTCCTTTCCGTGCTTTCCACTTTAAATTGAAATTCTACTTTTTACCCAAGTTCAAGATTCTTCTTTTAGTACCTCAAATGTAATCCAATTCTAAGCAAAGCAGATTTGATGAATGGCCCTAAATCAAATGTAGGAAACCCTTGTAAATAAAGTATTTGTCCATGAAAACTTAATTCAATTCTATCCCATCTTGCATAATAATTTCCAATCTAGGTAATTATGTGTGCCAACTTTGAATGATGATGAAACCCAGGTTTATACTTAA